CATATATAAAATAGAATTTTGTCTTTCAAAATTGATCAGACCACCCACATAATATAAATTTATTCTCAAGTATAGATAGTAATGGAGTTAAGACCTACAAAGCCATGCAGAGTAAGTTTTAATAAGTCAACACAATGGAATATAGTTACTGGAATAGTTCATGCATTAACGCCGAGTATTAAATCCTTTTCAAAACTTTTTAAAACATATTAATCTCCTCAGATGTAACTAAATAAATTAGTGACAAATGGATATTTCATGTTTCATAAACTTCGCTGAGAATCGTCAGCAATAGTATAAGTAACTCAAGTTTTACACAATATTTTCGAATTAGATATTAGAAAGCATCTTCCTGATTATTTAGACTAAATCCAATTTAACATCCCTTATATGTTAGTTCTTGACAAACAAATAGAAGTACTTACGAGCTTCTATAGTCCTGATTGTTGAATATAACGCCAGGATCCGACTTTCTAATTTCATTTTCTCGGGCTGCTTCCGTTACAGATTTCCAAACTGTATTCTTCACTCTGATGTAATAAAAAATAATTTTATGTAAGAGCAAAGTATACGTCGTACGAGTGTTTATTAGTAGTTGTAACATGTGTACTCACGCTTTTACTGTAACATCTAGAAGCAATACTGCTGTTGGTATTAATATAAGTCCCAGCCAAAAAACAGGCGAAGAGAATAACATCTTGTCATTGCCCAACATAACAGCGCCAACGTTCAAGACAGGCCAAAAATTACTACAATCAGAGAAACATATTGATTAAATTATATCCTACTAATCATACAAAAAATGTGCATGTATACATCATGATGTATTATGAAGAAAAAAATCTTACCTATATATAAAAATAAATAAGAACCAGAGTATAATAGATCCCCATGTTGCTAAATGAGTGACCCATGTCCATGAGTTTATTATTAGACCTGCCTTTGCGCATACTGTTACTACAACATACTAATGAACGATACAACATATATGTGTTTCACCTTCTCTCTCATAAAAATCTTCATAAATCTCTTTCGTACGATTGCATAATGTGAGAATATCGCATGATACTCACAGTATAAACAAAGTTTCCTAATAAAAGATAACCGCCGTCTCTACCGTTTGCCCAAACCACATCTTGCGTGAGAGCCAAAAGTGGCAGCCAATAAAGTAGCGACGAATGAATCAAGGCGTTCACAATCCATACCCAAAATACCTGTTCGAACATAAATGCATTCGTAAGTGTTAGATTTATATTTCAATGAGATCTTATCGCTCTTTCTTCCTTTTCTTGAAAATACGCTGTGGCCGAGTTCCAATTCTAATTCGCTACTGTTCGTACAGAAACACGCTTACTTTAATGTTAAAGAATGATTCGCCGTTATTCTTCGTCGCATACAGTCCTGGATGAGCTAAGTGAGTTTCTGCTGAACACACTTTATCGAAGAGACCCATAGCTAGTGGAGGCGCAGCGGTAAAAACCTGCAAAGTAGATGCGTAAAAAGTTAATTTATTTTTTAAAAATTTAATACCAAATAATTTATAGAACTTACCACATTGTAAAGTCCAATGGACCATCTTTCAAACAGTATCTGTCCGGACCAGCCGGAATAAATTGCGAACCACAATTCAATAACATACAAGCAAATATTCTTGTAAAACGAATATAATATTAATTTACACATTCTACTATAATTCCAAGAGCCGTGAACGAATAATAGACGTTTCAGAAAACGAAACTGTGCAATAGAATAATCGGAGGCACAAGCTGCTTGAAGACCTTCCACACCTGAAATGCCTGTAAGAATTATGAACGTGGTTTATACTTTAGTAATATAAAAATATTTGACTAAAGGAGATTGGTATATTAGCGATAAAACTTACCGACACCAATGTGAGCTTTCTGAATCATTGCTACATCGTTCGCACCATCCCCAATTGCAAGAGTTACGGCTTTCTTGTTACTCGTAATTAAATCGACTACCTGAAAAAATTATAACTTTGTAATAGAGCTAATAGATTTTGTCGTACAAGCAAAAATATAGAACAAACATATTACCTCAGCTTTTTGTATAGGTGATACTCTGCAACAGATAACCACTTTGCAAGCTGAACACAATTCCAAAAAGTCCATCCTGATGTCACATGACAGAGCAAAATCCAAAGTACTGCCGTCTATGATTAGAGCCACGTCGTTTTGGCATTTCAAATCAATTCCGAAGTCTAAACAGCGTTGGATTATAACTTCCCTTGTTTTCTGCAAGATATATTTCGCGTAAGAACATCGGTGAGATTGGAAATTTTCATGATGTTTGTGACTGTTTACTTACATCTAAAGAAGATTCATTAATAATATACAAAGGCATTCCATGCGTTATCAATTTACACGAGTAACCGATGTTTATCGCGGTTTCCTGCTTATCTCCCGTCAATACCCAAACGTTGATATCAGCTTGCAGAAGAGCCTGTATTGTTTCCGGGACCTGCAAAAGTTATGTAAGATATTGCGACTTAGCATGTGTTCCCGCAACAGATGCGTGAATTGACAAGATAAAATTATTCTCTACTTGATCTTGCAGTTGATCTTCAATCGCAGTTGCTCCCAATAACGTGAGTTTAGTTTCAATAAGATTCGCAGTCTCTTCCAACATATTATCACGATTCCTCGTACTAACCAATGCTTTATGGTATGATTCACGCCACCACTATCGAGAAAATGTTATTAAGAGTTACGACTACAGCGATTAAAAACTATATTTTTTCTATAATAATAAAAAACAGAAACCTGATAAACGTTCTCAGGTATCTCCGCGGAAGCGAAACAAAGTGTCCGCAATCCATCGCTGGCGAAAGCCTCCAAGTGTTCTAGAGTTGTCTCACGAAAATCGTCTATATGCTCTAGGTCGAGATCGCTAACTTCTACAGAGTTTATTGGTGTTAATCTTTCATAAATCACAGAGTCTGCCCCTTTACAAAGAATTTTAATTTTTCCCTCGGGCGTTTTCACTACCACCGACATTCTCTTTCTAGCCGAAGTAAATTCTATTACATTCAGTATTTCGTACCGTAGGGTCTCGCCTAAAGCTACAATTTCCACGTAATTGGGTGTTCGAGTGTCGAACACGTAATTAAATTTACGTGCTCCATCCACTAGTGCTCTTTCATCTGTCATAACATAAACGTAATATAAAATATAGGTTTTCAGTGCTGACAGTGAATATTGGAACACCTATTGTATCAACATGAATATTTGTGTATGGTGGGTTACTCACCCGGAGATGCAGCGTGATAAATTATAGAGTCATCCACTTTTTCAGGAATAACTGTGTGGCAAACTGATAACATGACCATGAATTCATGAAGCACCGCAGCGTGTTCTGCTTTCTTTTTATCGATAGGATTCGAGGAGTCGCGCACGGATCTCCCCTCCGTGATATCATCGATTAATTCACAGCAGCTCTCACTCACGCTTTCTTCATCAATAACGGGAATTGGTAAGCTATAAAATATTCACGATCGAGAGAAGCATGTATTAACGATTATCATTCATGCGCACAACGAAACACATATATATTTATGTGTACTTACTCATATATCTTTCCGCCGACTGAACATCGCTTGAACTCCATGACGTTTCTCGTGAGAGTACCAGTTTTATCAGTAAATACGTAATTCACCATTCCGAGTTCCTCGTTTAGATTACTGGTACGAGCCATCGCTGGAGTATCCGTTTCTGCGTGATACATTTCTATGTCCATATTAATAAATGTCGCCTGAACGTATCTCACTACTTCAAGCGTCACTTGCAGAGATATCGGTATTAAATTATTGAAAAGGATGATAAACGTCAAAAGGTTGAAAGCAAAATTTTTAGTCATCTCCTCTGTAACGAAAAATAAGATAAGGCACAAGACAATAAGGTCCCGAATCATTTGTGATATGAACTCACACGCATTATACGAAATTTACCATTTAAACCCAAATACCAGAGGCCGTGTTTGTTAGCGTTCGTCCACACGACGTTGAATATCGCAGAGAGAATGCATAGCAAAAGAAGTATGAAAAAGAGCATCAGTATCTGCGTGTTGATCAATCGATCGAGGGTGGATCGCTTCAACGGCGCTGTCGCAGTATTGTTCTGCATGAGTTTCGTGTCGTGGCCCGTGTATATAACCACACCGAACACCCATCGTGTGTTCCGTAACATCGCGCCACGAAGTAACAGTTGATCGGGCCCTAAAGCTACGCTCCTGCAAAATAACAATGTTGCTTGTGACGCAACTGTGTGCTTATATCACCGCGTGACAGCGTGCTAAGTGTTCCAGAATATGAAGCACTTGAAATCAAAGATAGTAGACGTTGCTCCAACATTTTAACTTGGGAGATAAATCAACAAATAAAACTTATCAAATCCAAATATCAGTGAAACTTTCTTTCTTGAATATCGAAAAGCTGCGCAAAACGCTTGAAAAACGCAACGATGGATCTATCGTGTACGAGGCGCGAGTGAAGTGTGTAGAAGAACAAAATGCGGTGATGCCGTGGGAATCCCTATGTATGTGTGTATTGCACGTGTCCATATGACGTATAACGTTCTTACTGCTTATTGGTCTCTCGTAAGACTCCGTGGAACTCGTACAAATGCCTGTTAGGCGGCTCGCACTGTATGTTCGCGCGAAAATTCGTCAATTCCGCGGTATCCAAAAGATTGGCAGTGTCGGGATGGGCCTGTCTGATCTTCAGATTCGTCTCGCCGTCTAAATTGGCGGTCTCTATGAAGGACATACCCTGCGGTTCCGATGACGACAATAAGATCAAGTCAGCGGGGAAGAAAGTGTTGTTGTGGACCTATGCATATTAAAGAAAACGGTTCTAGCCGGGAGGAGACTGTACTCGACATCGATTATTACCACATCAATGCTTGTGCGGAAAACAGGAAGGCAACCTTAACTACATCGCCAACGGCCACAGAACGCCACTGTATCCACTGCCAGCGCCCGTCCCTTAGGACCTCCACCTCCCTCATGTTTATCTCATCATCCGCTCTGTGCCTTTTCTAAAAAATCAGAGTAGCAGATTTTACGAACGTGCGGCAATGCGACGGCGAAACGATAATTTCGACTTCTTAACGTAAAATATACGCACAATATCCTCGACTATCTCTTTCAGAGCGGATACGCTGAGGATGAAAATCAGTGGCACCAATGTTGTGTACCGTCCTGTCGGGGAAACGTCTGGTATTTGCTAAATTTAAAGCAGAGAGAATGCATAAATGTTGGTTCGGATATAGTTCTCAAGGATAAGGTCTAAAGAAACTGGAATGTAAAGAAACGAAAACGCGTGCAGAAGAATCTGCATTTTTAACACGAGAACCAAGTAGAAAAACACGAACGAAGAAATCGTAAAAAAAAGGAATATTTTAGTTCGTCAAATATGTAACATTTTATTCGATGTTACAGTCGAATATCATAGGCTACCTGCATAAGTGCGATGAACAGGAAGAAGCAGTTGCTGTAACGACGGAATTGTTCAAACAGGAATAAAGGTACGAATGACAGAAATGAATATTTCGCAGTGGTGATGTGATTGTTTTTGTATTTTGCGGGTTGATGCGGGGCATTGACAAAGATGACCCTCTCCTCACTATCACCGTGTTGCGTAGGTGGTTGATCCTCACCCTGTGAGCCACCATTTTCCGCCCTTATCGGATCAACTATAACAAACGAAAAGTAGCAATCCGTCATTTCATGTCGCAATTTTACATGTCGACAAAACGGTGCCCTTCCACCGCAAAGTTTGTCCTCTTATCGTAATCGAGAGTCAAGCGGGCTACTTGTTTGTTTTTAAAATCAAGGATTTGTGCTACAGGCTTCGTCGCGAGAAACAAGCTAAATGCGATCAGAAAAGTTTGCTCTGCTCAGGTACAGAAATAAAACGGGCACTACCGAAAGAGTTAGGCATAAAAAAAAGGTCACGGCACTTCACTAGAAATTCCGACCGCAAAAGCGTATTATGTCCAAGGAAATGACATTTTCCGAGGAACATGACATATATTCAGATATTCTTTCTATAGCCGGTATAGTTGTACATAATACTGCCATCCACGAACAGTGAACTGACGGTTGTGACGGTCGCGACACGAGCGCGAGGATATACGCAGAAAATAATCACTATAGAAGTATCATACGCGACATGACACGGTGAACTTGAGAGATAAATAATACGACCGTAGATATTCTCCGAGACAGACGCGTTGAGAGCGATTTGTTTGTGAAGAGCTTTTCTTTTATTGTCGAGGACGTCAAACGGTTTGCCTTTATCATCTATCGTGTACGAGGCGTGACAGAGAGGCAATAGAGAAATCTTATTGTTAGGTAGTACATGGGAATGTCTTTTACGAAGCGTTGAAACGCTCGTTCTCGCGGAAACTATCACATTGCGAATAGCGACGAAATTGTTAGATTGGCTTTTTAGAATTTGTCAGTTTTTTGTAAGGTAAATGGAAGGCCAGGGAAGCCGGCAAAATCCTTCGCAGGAAGGTAAAGCTTCGTGTTTATAAGAGAACTATGTCTTTCTTGCGTAAATCGATTCGTAACCTGCGTACGACATTAGAAAACGTATTTACGTGTATTTTTCCTGGTATCAGTATTGTATTCCATGACGGACGCAAAAATAGCTATGCTATTGGAATGCAAGATAAGGTGCTGTGGTTACAGTAGAAAAAGACGATAAGTGTATAATGTGTGTATGATCTGTTCAACATATCCAGCTGCGTGTGCGTAGTTTATAGAACAATTTCCCAGATATATTGGTATGCATATACCGTATGTTGGTGTTTGCCGCATATACCAATAGCAGTATACTACATGCACACTTGAGAAGCCGCGTCTATATTCTACGGAAATATATAAAGTCGCTTATATCGAGGAATTCTATGGGCCAATACATCGACAGTGCTATTACGGGATTCGCGTTGTGGAATACCGTAAGCGTTAATATATCAGCTAGGTAATCTCGGGAATTCCTATCATCAACAATTTGATTTGGCTAAAAAAGAAAAGGACGTTTGATAAGACCGAGTTCTTTTTTTTTTTTATCAAAACGTCGAGTTATCACGGTGGTATCGCGGTGGACACAAGTTCCTCAAGCATACAGCGTAAGTAAGCTTACAGAAACGCGATCGTCGTTGAACGCGCTACTCAATACTTTCAATATGCTCTCAACTCGACGATCTTAATAAATTAGTAATTCTCCGCAGCGGAAAAAAGGACTTACGGGTCTGGGCGTGTAGATAGAGGTGTATACGGGATCTGAGTTCGTTGAACCACTGCAGCAGCTTCGTGCTCGCGACTTCCATGATCGCTGCTGCTGGTGTACGTCGCCGAATCGAGCGAAGCGCGTGCCTCACATGTCACCGTGCGCGATACGTCCGATTTGCCGATTCATATTTAATTCGCCACGAATGTACGTACGTGCTTACGTGCACAACACCTCTACACGTGCACTCGTCCGGTTGCGGCCGGACGACGACGACGACGACGCTGGTGCATCGGACGGACGTACGAACGGCCGCGGTCGCAGTGGTGCTGATGGTGGTGGTGGCGGTGGTGGTGGTAGTAGTAGTAGGTTAGATCGCCTATAAGCTCGACGATAAATAATTCTCCCTTTAATCGCATCGATCGCCGGCCGCGTCGTGCCACAACAATGTCGCGGGCGGGCCAGGCGACGTCCTTATATACCGTCGCGTCCACTCGTTTCACGGGGAAAACCGATACCGTATTCCCAATCCGTCCGAAAAGGCTCGTTTATTGCGGTATTTTGAGGTTATGCGACGGTCGAGCTTCGCCGCGCACATTCGATGCGCGATTTCCGCGGATCACTGTATTGCTTGTATTGCGAGGCGTACGCGTTCACGGGACATGACGACGACGATGACGACGATCGTACTGAGCGAATGCTGACACGCATGTGTTTCATGTGAACAAAAACTTACGCGTCGCAACAACACTCCACTGCATCGTCACGTGCGCTCGCGGCGCCGTCACGAGCCGCGTAGCGTAGCTACACGGAGAATAAGATCCATTTGACGCTGTAAACGTTTCGAAGCGTTATAGACCAACCATAATCTTTCTCTACACGCTACAAAGCGCTGGCAACGTCAAACGGATTCTACCCGGGATGCTCCGATTCCACCGCGTCATATTTGAACGGCAATCCGACTCATTGCGGCATTCTTCCCTGTCTAAAACCCGATTTGTTTTCTGTGAGAATGTCGATCAACTTGTTAGGTTAGGTCAGTTTGTTGTTGTTGAATGATCAATGGTAGGAAGGATAAACTAAAACTTAGAAAAGAGAAAATACAATCGATAAGTATGTGCGACGCTTTAGAATAAATGTGTACAAGAGAGAAGAATATTGTTGTAAGATTATTTGTTGGAACATAATTAATTTGTATTATATGATATATTGAACAAGAAGCAAAAGTTAATTTGAAAAATGAATACGATGTTTGAAAGAATTGTTGAAAGATAATGCGGTAGAATCGGGATATCTTGCGTGCACGTGCAGTGCAACGTGACATCTGGATCTACCCAATTATTTACAACGGATATCCTGTGTAATTAAGCAAAACCCAGGACACAAACGATGGAAGATAATTAGGCCTATTCCAGGCGATCTGTCATTCGCGGTAGGATATGGAATGGAATATTCTGTTTCGGATTCTATTTACTATTTCTTGTTTGCCGTGTAACACAAGAGACATTTGATGATTTATGAATTGATAATTGTACAGTGAGTTGTAAAACGGTCTAGACACAATGAAGTTAAAAATTCATTAGATTGTCAAAATTGAGAGTCGGGTCATTACGGGCTTGCTCAGTAATTACATCGTTACTAGCTCAAATTACCCGGCGTTGCTCGGGCCTCTTATATATAGAACATCTAAACTTAAATTATTACAAAGTGTCAAAGGAATGAAATCATGAGGAGAAGGTGAAATGCCCAGGTTTTATCTTCTGCAGAGCTTATATCTTCTGCAGAGTCCTAGGAGAGTATGCAAAATTTGGTCCGTCAAACGAATCAGGAGTTAATAGAGAATACAGACAGACATTCTATTATATATATATACAGGGTGTCTCACACTCTCCTCCGGGCATTTTGTGGGAACGTAGAACAGGTTGCAGTGAACATAAAAGTCCTATACCGTTTTGTGATATTCGCAATAATTATCGAGATATTAATTGTAGGAAACTTGTAAATGATCTTGCAGAATATAGTAAATGAGTTATAGTAGCGACGACTGCCATCGTGTATTTATACTTTAGGTCAAATTGAACAAAAAAATCCTCTATCATTTTCCAAATAATCACATAGATTTTTAATAATTAATTAAAGAAGATTATTGCACGATTTTGCGTGATAATGCACTAATCTTCTTTAATTAATAATTAAAAATCTATGTGATTATTTGGAAAATGATAGAGGATTTTTTTGTTCAATTTGACCTAAAGTATAAATACACGATGGCAGTCGTCGCTACTATAACTCATTTACTATATTCTGCAAGATCATTTACAAGTTTCCTACAATTAATATCTCGATAATTATTGCGAATATCACAAAACGGTATAGGACTTTTATGTTTACCTCAACCTGTTCTACATCTCCACAAAATACCCGGAGGAGAGTGTGAGACACCCTGTGTATATATATATATATATATATATATATATATATATATATATATATATATATATATATATATATATATAGAATAGAATACACACACACACACACGTAATTATTATTTTATTATTTAATATTTTCTTAATTATATTATTAATTGAATTATTATCAAGCAAATCTGTTAGTAATAATCCTTAATTTTGACAGTTTAGTGAGTCCTAACTTTATTGTGCTCAGACTGTTTTGTAACTCATTGTACGCATGTGTTTTTTAATTCCTTAAACGTTACATGCTGGATAAAATTGCAGATAGAATTCGCGAACTTGACATCGTATGAAATGCGACTTTGGACAAAAATCTCCAGAGTGTTGCGGACAACAGGATGACGCGCGATTTAATTATACCGAGCTATTGATTTTCCAAACTCACGCCCACTACAACTTCGCAGGCATGACGTAGTGACGCGCACCGTTTACGATAGCATATGTTTTTACTTGCATGACGCCTCCGATGCGCGCCGCGCGAGATAACGATTGCGTAATGCGGTTACGCGAGAGTGGCTGTCACATAATCGAGCCTCGCCTGCCGGCGTTATATCTCGTCTTCCGACAGGCTCGCACGCGAAACGTTTGCGCTCATTTATCCGACGATCGCCTCGCTAAAGCGCCGCAATTAACGTTTCCGTCGTTATCGCCGTCCTTCCGCGCGCCAAGCCGCATGCATCCTCTTGCGACGCGTTTACTCGAGATATCTTTCTACTGATTTACCATTGCGACTGACAGAACGATCGTAATATCGCGCGAAATTGGAGCGACGAGGAAAGCTAAGGGACATTCGGCAATATTCGTGATTTGGGTGCGAATGCGACTGCGGATATCCGGGACTTCTCTCGCGTCATTGTTAGACGAAAGAGAAGCGCGTCTTTTCGCCAGACTGTTTTCGATCGTTCATAGATCGAATTCCCCAATGTTACGTACGGTGCTATAAATATATACGTGGACACGTGAAGCCGAGAGAAGATTATGTCAGAGATAGGAAAAGCGCAGCAATCCGAATTATTTATAAAGCTAGCATCTTCTCGCGCTCACCTCTGCCGAACTCTCAATATAAGACAATATCGACGAGAGAATATTGGATTCAATATCGAATCTGGTTGTCACAGCCAGATTTACGCGTGAGTTAACTATACCGTTTTTTCCGTGTGTAGGTCGAATTCCCCCCCCCTTCGTGCGACTCCGCAATTTAGGCGTAAAAATTCGCGAATCCATTCAAATCAGTCCGTCCGCTCCACATAGACTGCGGATGCGGCATTTGATCTTCACAGAATTGACGGAAGTAACGGCATTTCCTCTCTACCTACTTGCGAAAATCTGCACCGAAGAAATCCCAAGCGTCGAGAAAATTACGCAGTACCGGGCGAGTTGAAATCTCGAGCTCCGAAATGCGTATTATCGGCACGTCTCGTCCGGCGATCGATCGAACGAGCTCTCTCTCTCTCGCGAAAAGAAGTCAGGTGTGTAGCACTTTCGGCCGCCCGGCGCGATCGATTTCGCACCTTCGCCCGCCACGATCGCCCGTACGAAGCGGAAATGTATTCTCACGCACGAACTTGTCGTCGCACTTTACGCGATCCGTATTCTCGTGGAATAACGATCATCCGGGATGGAAGACTGTCTACGTCACCACGTCCGGAGGATGTTTCGTAGTTCTCTCTCGCCACACCCTTGCTACTGCTGCTGCTGCTCGTCGACGACGACGACACGTCGGCTACGTGCACGTGCGTCAACGCGCACACGCGCCACAACGGTGCCGACGCATCGATTACACCGCCAGAAAATCCGCGCGCGTTCGCCGAACGCAACGCGACACACCACATACATACACACCTCCACGCATCTGTGCAACGTGACGCGACGTTACATCTTCTGTCACACACGTCCGACGCGGCACGAGGATGCGGACATCTCCGCGTTTCGTAGGTGGCACTGGGCGGCCGTGACTCCTCCGGACCGCGGCGCGACGCGACGCCCTGTGTTGTGCTAGAAGGTCGTATCACCCGCGCCCCGACCTCCAAATTGAACAGGCTCGTTTAGCCGGTCCAGCCGGCAACTGGAGATCCCGGAAGTTTATCAAGACTGCGATACATCGAGATTTCGAATCACTCTACGTTCTAAATCAAGTGTCTATGAGCAGACTGAGTCAAGCAAGTTTTGAAGAAGACGAGAAGCGAAGGTCATCGCGCCTGGAAATTTTTGCTTCGAGATTTTTTAAAACTGAACTTAACTCTCAGCACTTAAGACCCATTTTTCCTACCTCTTGATGAACCAACAGCTAAATAAATCATATGCCTGTCTTTGTTTCTCCTAATTAGACAAAGAGATACATATTTTAGCTTACAAAAAGTAGACTGGAAGAATCGATCTTTGGTCTAATATTATAGAGTATAGAGTAAAAAATTAGTAGAATATAGAATATGGAGTAAAAAATTTGTAGATTTCAGAAATCCATGAAGGAGCCCAAGGACGTGCAAGAAAACACGGGGATTCTTCCTTCGATTCATAGTCCATGACATCCTGATAATATCTCGTCCTGCTAATCATTCGCAATTTCTACCTATCCAACAATACGGCACTGCTCGAGGGGTGACTTGACGATTGCGTATTCACGTGCTGCCGTGAAAACGCATGCGCTCAACAACGGCAACAAGTTGGTGTCAGCACCGACCATGAGCTCCTGGACGTAACAACGGCTACGCGGCCGATGATTGCCGGAGCGGCGTGCCGGAGGAGCGTGGCGATGTCGTGACGACTATATAAACTATCGATAGGCCAAGGACACCCCGCGACGCGTCAACGGGGGTGGTGGTTCTCTCCGCGCCACTGTTTAAACGGAGCGGCGTCGTTCGTCTATTTATCAACGAATACTTTAGGAGAAGCTCACGAGATCGGGACTATTTCGCGCTGGGATACAATTTTCGTCGTGCTCAGACATTAATGTTTGAACGTAAAGTTACTTCTCTAAAAAAAGAAAGATGAGTAGTATATAAAAATGTTTCGAGGAACTCGACTGAGTGGTAAGGAGAACGAGAAGAACAATTGCTTAATAAATCTATATCAGAAAACACTTAGCTTGGCAGGTAGTAAGCCGAGTAAATAGCTTATCTCCGGTGAACGTTCTCTGCGACTTGATGGAAGCAGTGTGAGTTTAGTGTGAGCAGGGTTGCGAGATTAAAAGCTTTAACGGAATCCACACGGCGCTCGAGTAGATTGAAGTACCGCTATCTACTGATGAAAACGCTATCAGAGACTCCACACGTCTCGGTTGAGAATATCTCACGTATTCACACCCGTCAGAGCCAAGGTTTACGGATGTAGGTTGTTAAAGTCTAATTGCTCATCTTGTCACCTCTTCGCAACGTTCATCAACATTTCTTTCATGGTATATTATAGTATTATCGCTCCTGGAATAAAGCTGAAATTTCTTTTGCCGAAGTCAGGAGATCGTTAGCGAAAATTATGTACACACAGAAATGATTACTTGAGTTATAACATCATCGAAACGATAGACCCTAAGTAGCGAACTCTTGACTCGAGTAATTGACCACTCAAAGTCCTTTAGATATTTCATCACGGAGTTTAGTCATTAAGAGGCTCTGCAAATGCGCGCGCCGCGTATGTTTGCACGGATAACTGCCGCAATTAATCGATTTACTCGACTCACCTTCGGAAGTCGACTCCGGCAAGCCGGTCTCTTGCAGCTCGATATGCTCCCGCGTCCTCCGTCTGCTACGTGCGGCAGAGTCCAAACGAATGCCGATGTTGTCAACGTTGTCGATGGCGCCGAGATTGATGGGACTGCCGATGATGAAGGGTCCGGTGGGTTCTTGTGCGCCGTCGTTTGCTCTATTGCTCGTAGGTGATGCGTTGTTGTTATGAGCATTGTTATTGTTGTTGTTGTTGTTGTTGTTGTTGTTGTTGTTGCTGCCATTGTTGTCATTGTGCAGAGGCGTTTCGTCCATATGAGGTATGGAAGAGAGGTCCGGGGGTGTAAACGGTCGTAACGGGCCAGGGCTGGGAACCCGGGGGTTCCCCCTGGCAGTTGGTTGCATTGACTGTGCCGGTGCCTGAGAGAAATAACAGTGATCGAATTACTTCGTGATCGCCTTTTCGTTTTGTCGATATAAGGATATACAGAGTGTCTGAGATCACCCGTACACCTCTTTCATCTTAGAAACAGAGCATTTTAGAACAAAACGTTTCATACAAAAGTTGTATAGTTTAAAAAGATCTATTTACTGGTCTTATGAGTTTGACTTTACATGGCGTCGCCAAAGTCAGGACAAGGTCAACATTGTTTTTTTAAACAGAAATATGTATTTTTAATACGGAATTTTATTCTGCGTAAAGAAACAAACAACTTTTGTTTGAAACATTTTTTTCATACAACCTCTATTTTCTAAAATATTTATGGAAATATCTACAAAATTATTGGTTTCAATAATTTTTTACTCGAATTCTATCGACTTACCGATAAATAGCAAGAGATAAAAATTGTTTATTTTCTTCTCATAAAGTTTTGAGAATTTTTTCAGAATTTTATATTAACTTTTTAGTATTGCATTTTCTTGCATTTTCTTGAAGTACTAAAAACTCTGTATATTCAGACACTCTGTATATTGAGAATCCGACCCGGCAACCGAGCACCGATTCGTGACGATTTTAAGGGAATCCCGAAATGAAACAAGCCTCAAGGTGGATTCGGGATTGCTGAATCGATTTCAGACGCTAGATTTATTTATTTTTATTTATTTATTTTATAAAGTAATCTTTTCCTTTGTGCTGCAAATATAAAACCAATACAAAAGCAATATTTTAATAAATTACAAAAAGAAGAAATTTATCGTTGCTGGTTATTTGGTACATTTAGCGATATTAATTAATTAATTTTTATTTATATATTCAATAAGCGAAACAGACATAATTATTTTTGTGCTACAAATATAAAAACCAATACAAAAATAATACTATAAATAAAAAAAAAAGAAGGAAAGATTTATCATTGCTAATAGTTTGGTTTGGTAACCGATTTCCAATGTGATCTGATAAGACGGTGGTCAAGATTCGGAGACTCGGATCATTTCTATCGAGTTGCGATAGAATTCCACAAACATTCTTTCGTGATGATAGATGTGAACTTATTATATTGTACGTGAGCAAAGTGCGCACACAATAATGCGTGTAACAGTAACGCGTATGTGTCAAGAAGAATAACAGACGGCCCTGAAAAGAATTGTACTCGCTGACTTCTTATGACACATATGTCACGGTTCATTCACCCGCGCTTGTTTCATACATATCGCGTACGATGTCGTAGCTGCCTTCTTGGAAATGCTCCGTCTCGACAAGGTAAAACTCTCTGACTGTAACTGACTGACTCTCAGTGACCTGATTCGTTTATTTTCCTGAATTAGCCGGAATTCGCGATTATTGAAGCAAAAATTACTTAGTCAGGCGAACGAACGAAAGCCTGAACACACGTTCTATAAAAGCGTGTTGACATTATTGGGATTTTTCTTATGTCAACAATAGAAGCGTGTTGACATTATTGGGATTTTTCTTATGTCAACAATAGAAACGTTAATTTGTTTTCTTTCCTATGAGACGCTTCTTCCCCCGTACTTTAACATCGGCATTAAAGACCGTTGGAACAGTTAGATAAATATTTGTTGAACGTTTCCGTTCAAAAAGTATGATCACGTATATAATACCTGCTTAACTGTAGAATCTTAAACACATCAAAAGATTATGTAAACTTTGAATATGGATACATTTTACTTAACACATTTTCATTTGTTTATAACTTCTTGGAAAATATTCGAGAATTGAAGTTCAAAGTTTTTTTTTAAATCGATATGGAAAACATCAAGGAATATGAATCTATTTTGTTTGATTTTGCCATTCAATGAAATTAAAAAATGTTATAATAAAGAAACAAAACACATATTTTCAAGAATGATAATGGTATTGAAAAGTTGGTCTGAATCAATTTTATTATCCATGTTTTGTTCTAAGGTTAAACCAACATCGCTGTTTGAATCGTCATTTCTAATTTCCTCGCGATTAAAAATAAACAGAAATATATTGTATGTTAGGTTTGTCAGATTTAGAATTGCATTGGACGACATGCATAACACTGATGATTCATTCCGGTCGGTAATAAACCATATGGCCACGATAACATATCGTGCGTCCATTGGCAGTCGCATCGACACAGATAAACTGTGACGTAAATTACGAGGACCCATACAAATATAGGTGTACCTATATTTATATCCGAGAATTGCGTCAAATTTTGAGCCACGCTTATTTTGTCGATAGCAACAAAATAGTACACGGAGAGAATTTTATAGTAAAAATTATTCAAGAATTTTATAACTGGGGAATAAACGAAAATTAAATCGAAATTCTGCAGTAATTATTTATCCTTTTATTTTACAAATGCTATTTATATTTTAGGAATTGAAATGTGCTATTAAAAGATTTTTCATGTTTTCCAGCGAAATTTACTATGTTCATTCAAAAACATAACTCTTTCTTAACGAAAATTCTCTTACACAGATATAGCCTCAAGAGGATTCTACTGTAAAAGGAAAATATTCTAAAACTTTTACCAAAAAAATAATTCTACTTGCAAAGGATTATTTCTTATAATTTCATATTTTAAGTGAGTATTTTGATTGAGGACTCTTAAAGAATCCTCAGAAAGAGTATTTCTCTACTAGTAAGCTATAAATCTGCTAGATATTGTACTAACTTTTTTTTCTTTTGAATCAAGAAGAATATATTTATTTGAAACAAAATACTCTCTTACTAGAAAATATATTTATTAAGAACACAAGACTTTTACTGTGGATAAAAGACAAAATTCCTCTAACTTTAAGAATATTGCGCTTAGAAAAATTTCCTTTTAGTTTTAGAAGGATCCTTTTAAAGATGTATTTTCAAGTCAAAAAGGATTTTCGCTAAGATTATATTGTTTGTAGATGAATTCCTTAGCAAAATAGATCTTATTAACAATATTTTCTGCACACACACACACACACATCATTAGAAAGAAACATTGAAAAGATTCATCGAA